CAATGAATTCGACGAAATTTAAACACCTCCATCCACATGAGCATAATGGATTTCAAGGCCTCATCATCTGTTGACTCGGTCATTTGCCTCGTCTTCAAATAAAATAAGACATCGTTGTAAGGCTCATGCTTATACCGTGTTGTCATGACTTGAAGGTGATAGATGGGTGTTGTGATGTTGCCATGTTTAGTGGCACAAGAAGCGCTTCTAGCAGCACATTGTTCAAACAGCATCTGATGATGCGTTAGAGACCTATCAACAAACAATCACTATTGGAAACAAGCCTTCTGTCAGATAACTCTATAAAGTTACACATTTTCTAGCACTTCCACTTTAAAGCCTCCTAGCGTCATTCAACTCAGTCTTGATTAGTGGAAGAGGACTAGATTTGCGAACCAGGCCAAAAAAATTCAGGATCAGCAAATGTGTCCCCGTTGATAAAAAGCCAAAGGAATCTACTCGTCATTCCCATACCGTGTTAACGAAGAACCAGGCGACTAATGAAGCGGAAGAACGAAACATTCACCCAATACGTAACGAGTGGTGTCAGCAGATGGACAGAAGGTAAGTCAGTGGGGCCGGTTGGAGGACTAAAGGTCAAAAAATTCAGCAAAATAATGTCATTCACTACATGAAGTGATCAGTCTGAGTGGAGAATCCGTTTGGAAGACCAAAGGTCAAGAAAATTCAGCAAAATAATGTCATTTAGTTCATGGGGTCATCATTCTGAGTGGACGAATGGGTTCATGACATGTGTTATTCCACGTCTCACCAACTGACTCACAATAACCGATGAGTTTGAATCAAATCTTTATTTTATATATCAGCTGTGAACCATAGGCCTATGCCTTGGCATTGCTTTACAGTTTCTACAGCGCGAGACTTGAATATAAGAATTAATCGTACATTATTGATCTTGTTTCACCTCTCAGTCGGATATTTGCTGTAAAAAGCCACGGGGTCAGTAAAAATTTAAAGCTATTCTGAAGTCAAAGCGAAAGTTGGTTAAAACTTCAGCTTTACCTAGCGGTGCCTACTGGATGTGAACCAAACGACAGATTTTAAACCAAATTACTGTAACTCTTTCAGGTTTTACTGACTTACTTATAATACCCGCTGAGGCTAACAATAAATCTTAATTGTACGATTAAGGTACGAAAAGGGATGCTAGCATTTCATTATTTTACGGCTTCTACGGCACGAGCGCAAAGTACTA